AAGACTGCCATTGCAGCACCAAAGCCCTTCTCAGGTGATAAAAAGGGTGAAGACCTCGACACATGGTTGAGGACGGTGCAAGTCCGGTACTAACCTGTGAAATTGGCGCCTTGATGCAGGTACCTCAAAGATGGATATGGAGCTATGGCGCCACAGGTAAGTCTCAATGGCCTCCGCCAGCCATCTCTCTCCAACACTACTACTGCTACTACTACTACTACTAGCGCCCTGCGCTGAAGACTACTCCAGCAACTAGCGCCCAGCGCTGAAGACTACTGCTAGCGCTAACGCTACTCCTGCAGCGCTCCTCCAGAGTGCTGCTGCCGAATCCTGAAGACTGCCTCCTGACCTCTCGTGAAGTGCATGGGAACTACCTATGTACTACCTCGGCCTGCCTCCTGACTGCCTGCAGCTGCAGGGCGGGGCAGTCCAGGAGGCTGCTCTTGCCAATGCCGAAGTGAGCCAGGGCCTGCCGCTGCAGCTCCTGCTGAGGCTGTCGTGGGAACAGGCCAAAAATAGCCTGTTCCCGAAACCCTGGTTTGGTGCCTGAGTGTTAGGGCAGGTCGATCTTATGAGGGCCCGAAAGTGGCCCTCCGTTTCAGGCTGAAAAGACTCAGGGCCTGGAAGGCCCTGTTTTAGGCTGAAACGACATAGGGCCTGCAGGCCCTCGTTTTCAGGCTTTCAGGCTGAAACGACACGGGGCCTGTAAGCCCTTGTTTTTAGGATTTTAGGCTGAGACTGCGGGACGGGCCCTGCAGGCCCGTGAGGCTGCACAGTTTGCCACACCTCAGCAGTGCCCTGTACGCTCTCGACACCCGTGCGCGTCCGCACCTAGCGCTAGCGCAGCAAGCAGCCCGCGAGTCTGCGCTCCAACAGCGCTGCCGCTCGCAAGTGCGAGTGCCCGAATACTTCCCTCGGAGCCCGGCCATTTCCTATATGGAAAGTGGTGGTCGAATCTTCACCCGGTTGGCCCACGAGACCGAGTTTCCATTAGCTTCAGTCTCGGCCAAAGTGTCTGCGCCCAGGCCCGTTCAGACAGTGGCCTGGGACCGAATTGGTTAGGCATGCCCAACCGCCCAGGCGCAAATGTGCGGTGCTCCCTGTATCGACCACGTTGCTGGAAGAGCCTGGAAGGCTCACGCATATTTCTGATTCTCATGAGCAAAGCGGATGTAACCAACTGGCGCGTGGCAACTGTCTGGCGCCCACCAAGATTTGCAAAAATTGACGAGTTCAGGACACATTGATATTCAGGGGGGGCGCCTTCACTTAGGGCGGGCAAACGCCTGCTGCAGGGCCTTATGCCGAGGGGTAAACCCTCACATAACAAATAACGATAACGATAAACATAACAATAACGATAATGATAGCGATAATGAGCACCGTCTCACCTCTACAATTATTGGCAATAAGTTCAGAAATTTCATTGGGAAAAACTAAAAGTTCCATCACGGATAATAGGGGAGATGATTTCTTTTTATTTACCATCTTCCGATATTATCTGGATTTTCTTTTTGTGAGGAATGAGCCCTCGCTGGGCCCTTCTCAAACATGCACATGTTCTGGGCAGACTCCGCAAGCCAAGTGCCTGCCCTAAGTGAAGGCAGGCCTGAATATTCACTAGAGGCCAAAACTTGACATTTTTCATACGTGGGTACTCAGGCTGTTGCAGCACGCCAGTTGGTTGAATGGAAGTGTGAGCCTCCCTAAGCTGTGTCGTACAGTTTGGCCCAGGCCTTGGTAGTTGTGCCTGGGCACATACACACAATGCAGGGCCGATACATCACGAAGTGGCTACAGGTCTATGAAAAAGCAGCATTGTTGACGTACATACCCCGGGTCCTGTGCAGATGCAGCAAACGGCCCAAGTCTGGAAACTCAGGCCATGCCCAACTGTAAAGGGCCCAGGCCCTCAACTGTAGCACTGGGCCTGGGCACAGGCACTGGGGCCCGATCGGAAGCTACTGGAAGCGTCCCAGGCAAGCCACATGCAGCCAAACAGAGGCTGCCACTTGCATATAGGGAAGAAGGCAGCCAGGGTCTGGCATTCTGGCCCACGCAGGCATTGCGGTCACACTGCTGTGTTGCTGCGCAAGAGGCTGCATGCTGTGTTAGCGGCCAGGGCACGTGCGGACGCTTGTGAGATGAAGAGAGGCGCTGCTGGGCAGCGGAGCGCTGACAGCCATAGCCAGGCTGCAGGGCGCTAGGGGGTAAGAGGGCGGTCGATGGTCTTCAGGAAGGAGGCAAGTGTGGGTGGTCAGTGTCTGATGAGGGGAGACGAGATACGGACCTGGCACATGAGAGAGGTCGGCTATGGTGTTGACGTCATGTACATTGATCCTCAAGAGTCGAAGTGAGCCTGTTGTGTGAATGCTGATGTAGGAAGGATAGGCAAGTAGTGTAGGCTGGGCGCTGGGCACCAGACAGAGAGGAGCGACATTGGATACTGTGTTGATGTGGCCTGAGGGCTGGAACATTGGCTCATGTCTTGATTGTATTGCTCTTATTTGGATGGAATCTCAGTGCATTTGTGCTCTCTAAAAGGGCCTTTACCCGATTCAGACCCTGTTTGACGAATGCAACATAGTGGGGTCGCTCGCCAGAGCCCAACTCGTGAAAGCAGATCAAAGGACATGTTCTCTGGGTCAAAAGTCACATCCCAGCTAAGTAAAAGTCAGTGTCAAAGGTCACAGTTGTGCCCCTGGACGAACAGTTGCAACATTCAAATATGGGAGTTGCATCTATTCATCCAGGGGGTGTGCAGGTCATGTCCGTTCATACAGGAGATATGTCTGTTCGTGCAGTATGTGTGTCTGTTCGTGCAGTATGTGTGTCTGTTCGAGCAGTAGGTGTGTCTGTTCAAAGGAAGTCCAAAGGATAAAGTCCCAGTCATGAATTAAGTCCGAGGGAGAGTCTAGATACAGGCCCCAAGTCCAAAATTCAGGCCAAATGGCCGCAGCAGCAGCAGACCCTGAAGGGAAAGTACTGGGACACACACCATGCAGAGGTCTGGGACTGAAGGAGGCCCAAAGTGCCAATGCAGACCTCACGAAGGGAGGCCAGCAGTATCAAGAAGCAGGCCAGCCTCCCTTGGGGACAGATTCCCACTGGCATATTGGCGTTTTAGTGCTGTGTGCACTTGTGCGCTGGCTGGCTGGGTTAGCGCTGGAGGAGAAGCTGCGCTGAGAGGTGGAAGAAGGCTGGGCGCTGGTTTGCAAGTGGCAGCCATAGCTGCGCCAGCTAGTTAGTATAGGTAGTGGGTTAGTAATTGGTCTTCAGTGAGTAGCTTTCAGAGTAAATTCTCGTAGAAGGAGTGTGCATGCATGATGAGAGAGAGAGAACTGAGATAAAGATCTCGAGGGAGAGAGAGAGAGGTGCGAAGAAGACATACCTGTTTTGCAATTAACTTGTTGTTGAGAGAAGGTGCTGGTTGAGCCAGGCCTCACATTGCGGTTGAATCAGAAGGAGAGACATATCGCACTATTGGTTCTTGTACTCGAGATACTCTTGTAATGTGTTGGAGATAACATAAGCTGCGCATCTTGGTTCTCATCTCATCTTTATTTGCGCTGTGTGATGGTTCATAATCTGTGTGGTTGGTAACGTGGCATGCATTGTGATACACTCTGGCAAGTTGTGGACAGCCAGGTCCCTTGCATCACTTCTTGTACACGACTACTCGGACATCTGTGTGATTTCGCAACTTGGCTTTCTGTATATCATTCCCACTCATATTCCTTGCATTTTTTAACTTCTAGAAGATGATGAGGTGTTTCCTTTCATGATCATCATTCCGCAAAGCTTCGTGCGTGTGTTCTTCAATAACCGCGTTGTTGTTTGCGTTGACAAATAGTCATTACGTTAGACCGTCAATTGCTGAGATGATGCTCACTTTTGAGTCTTTAACTTTTTAAGTTCTAACTTTTAATTCAGAAAAACGTCATCATCGTTTCAACGAATGTACCCTTGGGCATAGTACTGCAACTTGCTTATTATTGTTGTTTTTGTTGTTGTTGTTTTGTTTTTCGTTGTTTTGTTGTTGCTGTTGTTGTGGTGGTGGTGGTTCGTGTTGTTTTGGCTTGCTTTAGGTTGTTGAGATATGATTTGGCTTGGTTTGTTTTCGCTTTGCTTTGCTTTACTTTTGTTTGTGCTTTGCTTTGATTTTCTTTTCTTTTCTTTTGCTCTTTTCTTCCTTCACTTACATTTGGGTTCATTCAGTCTCATTCGGTTTCATTCAATAGTGTTTGATTTCATCTGGCTTCATTTGCTTCCATTTCATTTCATTTTGTTCATGTGCATGTTTCCGTTATGTTTTCTTTTGTGTTTTGTTTTGCTGTGTTTTGTATTTTTGACTTTGTTTTGTGTTCTGCTTTGATTGGTTTTGCGTTCCATTTTGCTCTCTGTTACCAACAGGGGCGCCCGGGTCACCTTTGGTTGCCCGGGCAGCCCGGCCGGGCAAGGGCTAGAGAAGGTCCCTGTAAAAACAAAAATAAAATAAAACAAGTATCCCAAAGAAAAACTATATTGTGCAGAAAAATAAACTGAACAAGTTTTGCCTCAGGGTCACATCGAAAGTAAAAACTAATTTATTTTCAATTTTTTCAATTTTTTTGTTCATTTTTGGCAAAGCCGTGCAGGCCACTCTGGTAATGCAGGTTTTGCTTTATGTTACTTTGTTTCGTGTTCTGCTTTGTATTGCTTTGCATTGCTTCGTTTTGTATATTTCTTTCTTTTCTTGCTTGCTCAGTGGCTTCCTTCATTACTTGCTTGCTCACTTTGCTTCCTTGCGCAATCTTTCTCTTGTTTGTGCGCTCTCTCACTTTTATGCATACTTGTGCACTCTCTCTCTTTTTTGCTTGCCCAGCTGGCTTTGAGCACAGGAACTACTTCCTTTTATTCCCCTTTTCGTTATGATTACCAAAAAAGCAGCCATATTATATACACAGATAATATACCTTCTTTGCCTCAACTATTTTTCAACTTTTAGAGCAGCAATATACCTGATCAGCCAGAAATTGAAGATAGGTGGACTCTCGGAACCGCCATCGCTCAAACGAGGGGAGAGGTTTCCCTCTTGCCACTGAGATCTCTCCCTGCAGTCAAAACAGACATGTCCATTCATATGCACATTTTTGACAGACCAGAAATTACAAGTCAATCTGAATATGCATATAGCCATTTGCAGTCCAAACATAACACAGGAGGGATCCACCCAGCCTATGTGGCTGAATGGTACACACATGTAGCAGCATTGTAGCTGTTGATGAACAGATCATGAGTTTGAATCCCCACCGGGAAATCAAATGGATACAATAATGTAAGGGGCTACCTGCAATAACCCGTTCATTATGCCTCGTTGAATGACTAGCAATAACCCGTTCAATATGCCTCATTGAATGACTAAGGGGCCCACAGGCTGCGACCCCAACTTCTGGCCGAGAGGACGAAGGGGCAGAAGGCCCTTTGGAATTAAACCAGGGCCTGAGCGCCCGACAGTTGACTTCGGTCAACTGCCTGAGGCCCTACAGTCAAAGTCAAAACGGACCCAGCCCAGACCGACGGTCAGACACACTCACTTGTTTGTATGCAGGTACCAAGACGGCATCAAGACCAAGTGGAAGTCTGTAACTGTACACAATCCAGGCCCTCGGCTGTGAGTCAATCTGAGCCACCGTGGGTGGGCGACCTGAGGCCAGTCTGCCTTGTCAAACACTACATAAGACTTGGTCTCCGGGGAGTCAACATTCAGTGTTGCTATGCTGCCTTGACGCTGGCTTGATGCTGGCTCGACGCTGGCTTGACACTGCCTGGACGCTAACTTGACGCTGGCACTGTGGACAACGACGTGGGACTGCGGCATACTGCGCATCCGCACGGTGTCAGGAGATTCGGGGAGGAAGATGCCTGATTGTCGCTGAAGCCAGGGGCAACATCGTCTGTCACCCACTGCGCCCACCTCCAATCCTCAGCGGCGAAGCAGGAGAGTGGGGCTGGAATGCATGTTGCACCCCCACTCATAAGCTCAGGCCTGTCGCGCTTTTCTGGGTACCGGAAAAAGGTGGAAAAGAATTAAAAGTAAAATGATAAGAACCCACTTGCCCAATCATCAATCATAATGAAAGAGGGACTTGTTAACACCAAGATAAAGAGGCGAAACAAGAGATACGATACAAACAGGGGCATAAGTAATACCCGTAACCATCTGGTTTTCCACACTCGGGTGCAGGGCGGGAATTGTTTCAAACAGCGAGGGCAGACAGTTCAGACAGGGCCAACGGTGAAACTCAGCCCAAACCCTAAGGGTAGAACTGGAATTTCGCTGAAGTTCACATTTTACCCACCCCAACAGGGTTTACTGGTTCGACAATGGAAACCGCGCGTCCGCAAAAGCCCTTGTTTCTGTCATAAGTTGCTCTGTAGAAAGATCCGAACCGCAGAAACGTGCAGCTTGGAGTGCCCTTTGACTGAGCAGTAACCAACTAGTGATCAGGTTTCCCAAGAGTGAGAAATAATTCTTATTTGACTAGCAGCTTAAAAATTTCGGGGGGCGGATTTGTTACTCCCTTGAATTGTCATTAATGTATACATTTTCATAGTCACAGTAGGTAGCTGCTGTACCAATTAATCAGGTGTGCAATGACGTGCAGTTTTCTGGTCGCCTGTAGCCTCTCTCTGTCAAGGCTGTACTATAGTTAGGACAGATTCACAATTTTGTTTGGCTGGGGGCTAACCGAGAGACCTACCTGTGAGGGCAACTCGTGAGGGACATATCTGCAAATCCGGGAAAATACACGCCCGCCGCCCGATACTAACCGGATTCCCTACAGCTACCCTAACTGCGGATAGCAGGCCCAGGCTACCCCTAGGACAGACAGGCCCTAAGGGCCTATTCTGATAGACGGTCCTATAGCCTATAGCCGGGTCCGGTAGAGGTCGAGAGGCCGAAAGAGAAACGGTACTGGTCGGTCAGTCACTCCGGTCTAGGTCGAGTCTAGGCTAGTTGTAGTCTATAGATAGAATGGGGACATCTGTTAAGGGCTTTTGGCAGTTGGTACCGTGTACATCGCGGCTGTGCTACGCGTGAACCGGAAGTGGTGACGGCCCAGCGTGGAAGGAGACGGGCATAGCCAGACCTTAGGAGTGAAGGCCATAGCTGGGACCTGCGCTGTACTCTGCCAGCACGCAGGGGCTGACAGAGGTCTGGGTTATCGAGGTCTGCTGGAGGCGAGAGAGATTGGTGCCCTGCTGGACCCTCCTCCGGAGTGGGGTTCCAGGGTGTTGGCGCTGCAGCCATAGCTGCAGCTTTCTTCCTCAAAGGTCACCTTGTCAGGGTATGGTGGCACTGCTGCAGACTTCCACCCGGGAAGTCTTCCGACACTTCGTCATCATCAGAGACTGTGGTGCTCGTCTTCTTCTTCATCCTCTGAGTGGCGCTTGGCCCCAGAGGCCTGGTTCAGGGTGGCGCTTCCCTTACGAGGCTGTTCTTGGGTGGTGCTTGATGTTTCGGGGACTTTGGGGGTGTTACGGGTGCTAATCAGGGTTGGGGAGTGAAGCGCTGCTCATTTCTGAGCAGCGCACTGTAGTACTGAAGTTATCCTGACAATTCGAGACTCTGAGTTTAATAAACAGTGTGATATTGTGTTTGGACTATCATCGTTTCATTGTTTCCTGGATGTGATCTGCTCGGCTTTTCTCTATGACTGGTTGTGAGGATTGAGTGGAGTGAATTGCACTTTCAGTGTACCCTGTCATATCGCATGGTCAAGTCTTCCGCTGTGTTATCTCTCCCTGTGCGGTGTGATACTCCTATACTCTCCCCTTCCTTTGGGTATGTATGGGCATACCTAGAAGTCTATGTGAGTGAGTGTTGGCCTTCAGGCAACGAACAACCGGAATCATAACAGTTGGTATCGGAGCAATTGGATCCAGGCACTGGAGCGATTGATGAGTTGGAGCACCCATCATCATCTGGCGAGATACTGGAGTTGAGTCTCATGGCGATTCATCATCTATAGGGTTGTTGTCAATAAGGGTGGTGACTGTGAGTGTGTGGCGAGAAGAATTGGGCAGAGGGTGACTCACTCCTGGCTAGGGTTGTGCAGGAGTGGTTGGCGATTGATACTCAGAGGCCTGGGAGGCTCTGAGAGGCTAAATATAGCCTGGGGATTCACCTGGAGGTTGGCGATTGTCAAGGAAGTGATCCCAGGAGGTGGCGATAGTGGAATTGGGTCAGGATCCCCAATTTCGAGGCAGCGCAGTACAGGGTGATGTGGCGCTGCACTGTCTTTGTCAATTATTGACACCTGGGAGTCTGAATTCTCTGAGTCTGTCAGTTGGGGTTGAAGCGCGTCAGGGTAATCTACTGGATCACCAAGTTTCAGGCAATTTGGTACGTGGGAACACTGGGTACTATCAGGAGATGAAAGTGGCGAGATGGGGTTGACCAGTCAGCCATAGCCAAAGTTTCATGCATCTTCTTCAGAGTTGACCCTGAAGAAAGTGTGTTCCTTACTCCATTCTGTGTGGCGATTCTGGGGCTATTTTTAGAATAGCAAAATTTGGTATGTCTGTCAGGTGACAGTTGAAAATCGAAATTCAGACTGTGGGACAGCCATATCCAACTTTCCCTACCTATCTTCTTTGACTTCTACTAACCCTGTTTGACCTTAATTCCGGCTCATATTTCATCTGGGACTGCTTTAAAGTATTGCGATTGACACTGTGCAAGGAATTGGTGAATTCAGGGGTCTATTGTCAGTGATAATGCAAATTTGAATTCTACGCTGACATAGTTGAAGCTAGGCTAGACTAGGGTCAGTCATAACTTTGATTTTGTCCGTCAGAACTCAGTTCTGTCAGTCCCTGGTAAATCGCAATTCAGTATTCTATCAGTGTATGAAATCGCACATCCAGATTTGATGTCCTGGGTCAGTTACAGTGAAAACTATGATTCACCATACCAAGGGTATGGCATACAGTGTCATACAGTGTTGTGGTCTGTAGGGTAAGTCTAAAAATAGGATATCCTGTAAATCGCTGCATCTTGGTCATTAGTGGACACATGTCTAACCCTAATTAGTCACTCTGTCTAATTACTAATCAATACTAATCAGTCCAAGACTGCATCCTGTCAAGTGTTGACTCAGGATTTGCAATTATTGCATGCAATTGTTCTGTCAGGGCAGGGATGGAAAAATCGTGAAATTGGTTTTTGCCTGAGTGGACTCTGAACTGACCTTGACCCTCAAGCGGTCTGCTGAGACTGAGCACTCACTTGCTCAGATTAACCAATCTTCTCTCTCCGGGCAGGTGACAACAATTGAGTTAGTACTAAAGAGAAAACTCAATTCCTGTTACCTCTTGTTTTGTCTCTGAGTGTTTGTTTATTTTTATTTATCTGTATTGTGGGAAATGGCAGATGCAGGGAAAGCAGAGGCTTCCGAGGTTAAGTCTCAAATCCCGCTTGATCCTTTAGAGGCTGAGCTGTAGGCCCAAGAGGAGAAACTCCGCCAGTAGGCCCAGGCAGTTGAGACTCTAAGGGCCGAGCTGACGAAGAAAGAGGAAGCAACCCAGCAAGAGGCAAGGAGAAAGTTACTGATTGCAGATGTGGCGAAGATCAGGGTTAGTCGGAGTTCCAGTCAGTATAATAAGGACATGGCTGAATTCATCCTCCTGCAAGATGATATTCACCGTTCTTATTTTACTTCCTGGGATGACCGGATCACCAGTCTGAAGAGCAGTCACTCAACTTTTTCTAAAAAGTTGGATGACATCTCTGCCAAACTGGATCTGATCTTCACTCGCCTTAAGAACCCTACCATTTCTCCTGCTCCTCCCTCTCCTGGACCTTCTCAAGGGAAACCTGCATCACCCCCACACTCCAGACCCACATCTCCACCCCCTACACCCACATCAACAACAACTTCATAGCCATCAGCATCATTTGAGTTCCCACGGCCTAAGCTGACACTGCCACCCATGTTCTCAGGCGAGGACCCAAAGATGGATGTGGCAGATTGGGTTGCTGCACAGAGGACCAGCCTGAGTGGGTTCAAATGTGATGAGGATGTGAAGGTGTCAGCCATCCTTGCTC